GACATTTTGAATAGTATAACATGGTGGCTCTGGAAATCAGATTCTTCCTCCCATCCCAAGAATTGCTGCTGTTACTTGCTGAGGACTATAGTCATTTATTTACTTATCCAAAATAATTTTGCAGAGACTATATTTCTTGTCATGTGTGGTCACTAAAGTCCTGTTCCATTGTCTCTGCAGTTAGCCAGTGATCTGATGAAGATTTCCTTGAATGTCAGTCTCTTTCTTCATCAAGTGCTTCTCAGGATGCTGAAAGTGTTCTGCTAGACTCCAGAGTTCAGAAATGGTTGGTTCTGACAGTTCTTGCCAGCTCAAAAATTAGTTACGTGGAGAGACCACTTTCTGGAGCTCCCTACTCTGCCATTTTCTTTGAAATCCAAGTCATTTTGTTTTAACTATTATCCTGAATACAGTTCTAAAATACATCAGTACCCTTTCCTGACTGCATCGATAAACTATGTAATGGACACAGTTTATCTTTCTTTGACTTTTAACTATATTGCACTATCTTTATGATGATCTTTTATTGAACGCTGAGGTATATATTAAAAGCTGATTTTTTGAAGATGTACACAGCCTCGAATTTACGATACAAAAGTTGTCACTGCTCATACTTTTAAAATCATCTCTTTCCTTCAAAATTGTTAGAATCTTGGGCAGAGGGACAGGGCACCTGCTTTTCAAAAATCAAAGAGAGAATATGAACCTCTCAACATCATGTAAACCGTATGTTCCAACAAAGATGGCTAATTAGGATACATAAAAATTGATTACTTCAAGAATAGATGCATTTTTACTCTTTTTGTAAGCAAATACCTGAATACTAGGTTGGAGTGAGCTTTTTTTTTCTATCCTCCCTTCAAAACAGTAACTCTGTAAAAACCAAGTAGTTCTTATGAAAAAAGAAAGAGAAAAGAAAAAATTGTAATAAAAAAAGAAGCAATGTTCAAGGTTCCCGAAGTTTTTTAATTCAATTGTGGTATCTTGCAGCTGCTAACTTGGATTTCCTCTTACTTACTTTGATGCCTTGTTTTCTATCTCATAATTTGAATTTTAATTTAAGCAGCATTCCTAAGGGCTTCCTGAATTGAAAATTAAGTTTTGAAAAGTCCTAAAATTCCCATCAAAACAGTGGATTGAATTCAAAATGGCAGTTAATATCTTGTGACTCAGCAAGAGTATAGTCTTTTATTCAGTACTTAAAAAAAAACAAACCTCAAATGCATAGTTTTTATTTTATTTTTTCTCTTTGTTCCTTTTGGATTATCAGACTTATTCGATGGGTCATTTTCAAATGGACTAGGGGAATATCAATTGTCCTATGCTAATAAAGTTTCATCATTATATAATGGAATCCAACATTAAATTATGAGTTCTTGCCCTAGTGTATACAGATGAAAAGGAAATAATAAGATCCTTTATCTTGCTTTTGTGAGGTCATGATACATAGGAGAATTAAAACCTATGGTTTAAAAAGTTAAAAAAATGAAACAATTAAGCAAAGATTGTTCCTGGCCAATATGATGTGTCTTGTGATAAGTTTTGACAGAATTCTCCATTCATTCTTCTGGGAAATCTACAATCTAGTTAGAATACATATGATCGGAGAACTACCCTGTAAAAATATAGCAAGGTACCACAGTAAAATTTTATTATGGGTACATAGGTCATAGCATCAGAGGGTTGTGGGGTCAAGCCTAAGACACAGATCTACTGATTCTACATCAAGGTTTCTTATAGTTAAGCTGAACCTGACATAAAGATATCTGAATCAAAGTGATATTTAGACAGAAACCCATTTCAAGAGGACAGGAAAGAGATGGGGTTGGTATTCATATACAAAGAAGTCAAGATGGCAGAAGAGAGTTCTCAGGTTTCAAGAAAAAGAAAGATTCTTTTCCTTCAGGTAAATAAGTAAACACACAGAGAAAGAATACTGAAAGCCACATAGTTGGGGTGGGCGGGGTGGGGGTGGTGGTGGTAGTGAATCAAAGACATGACCTTTGCAGGCAGCCTTACAGTTAGGGTTTGAATATAATATAGAACCCAGAGTTGGAAGCAGACCATTGCCTGCTTATTAGATGTGGGCAAGCCAATTCACCCCTAAAAGCATCTAGATCCTCAATCTTTAAAATAGTGGTAACAAAACTTCTAATAGGATATTGAGCAACAGAATACGGATATATATATATCTGTATGTGGTATGGTATGTGGTATGGTGTAGCCACACCATATATGTAGGAAATGTTAGTTACTGTTATTTTTTCATAGACTTCACTTGTTTTTGGTCAAGATGATGGAATTTTGCAATCGGACAATTTATCACTAGAATGCTTACTGCAGCAAGTTAAGAGAAAAGTCAACTCCTAAACAATAGGGAATTTATAAGCTTACTAAATGTAGGTCCCAAGGTAGGAGATGTTTTGAAATTGATTGATAAGACATTTCAACAATGTCAACAAGACCCAGGTTTCTTCTGTTGTCCACACGTCCATTCAGAATGTGGCTTCAGTATATAACTGGTTTCCTGGATGTTTGTAGGATAGCTACAGTAGCATTCATAGCTGGTAGATAAGAGAAAGTGCTTCTCCAAATCATCAAATTTCCTCCTGCGCAGTGAGTGGTCCCAATTACGTCACATTTCCTTATACATTAACTGCTACCAGAGAAAAGCCACACTTTGATTGGTTTAGGCCTTGATTCCTTAATTTTCAGGATCAAGGCCTAAACCAATCAGCAGGAGAGAGGATGGGATTGTCATGATTATCAGGCACCACTTCTAGGGTCATATTTAGGTTTAGGGAATCAGACCCAGAGTCCACTACTTCAGCTTGAGTTCAAATATTTATTTGTTATGTTGTTGGGCAAGTTATACAACATTATTGAATTTACTGCATTTCCTTATCTGCAAAATGGGTATGAAGCTGAACTGAGATAAATGAATATGAAAACAAAAAGTTCTCAAGTGTCTGATATGTAGTAAGCACCCAGTAAATATTAAGCATTATTAATATTATTATTCTTCATCTATAACAGTCATATTACATAATAGGTTTTTTAATTGTCTGCTTTTCTGAGTAAATTATGAGTTTTCTAAAATACAAACAATAATATCACCTTCATTTTTTACCTCCAAAATCTTACATATAATAAATAGCCAACATATTTCTTTAACAAATGAGTGAATAAATGAGTATCTGTTAAGTGAATAAATAAAGGGCTAAAAACAATAGGAGTTCGATTTAAAAGAAAGGCAACCAAATGTTGACTGGATGAGTTACAGGTCAGTCAGGATATAGAAACAAAATGGGCCAGACTGAGAAAGAACATATTTGAGAGGAGAAAAAAACAGACCTACAAAGGCCCTTCTCCTGAAGACTACAGTGGTTTCAGGAAGTGAGCAAACCAAATACAACTTTAGTTTAGGGTAACTAGCTCACAGAAGTTGTAATCTCTTCAGATGTTTTGTTTTACAATTTGATAAATAATGAATATTTGGACAAATCTCATATGAATGCTTATTGTAGCCTCGAGGAAGTAGAAGAAATAATAATAATAGCTACTGAGTATCTTATATATTTCAGGCATTGTTCTAAGTGTCTCCCTTGTATAAATGCATATAAACCTCAAAACAAATGCTTGCGGTAAATACTGTTCTTTTCATCCCGGATCCTTTTTATAGGTAGGAAAATCAAGCTCAGAGAGACCAGTCAACTTGCCCAAATCACAAAGCTAGCAAGTAGCAAACTGGTATTTTCACCCAACAACTGTGACACAAGAGTCTGTGTCTTTAGCCATTACACTATACCATGTAATAAAATGGAAAGGTGCTCAGAGAAACCAGGCCACATTTTCAAATCGTCAGGCACCCAAAAGTTAAGTATGCCAGTGCCCATGTGAGCACTGCAGCTCTCCCAGGCCACTGAAAGCTGAAAGGCAAAGCTCATAGTTCATGACGTATGTGTTCCCTCTGGCCCTCACGTTGCACTTTAGTAATTCCCTGCGTATAACACAATGGCTGCATACAGAACCAACTAAATAAACATTTGTTAAGTGAATGACTGTGTGGGTGGATGGATGGACGGACGGACAGATGCCAGTATACATGATGTGCCCAACTTATTACCATGGCAGACTAACTTCTTCATGCTTCTCCATTTGGTAAATTGTCTTTAAATGCTGTTGCCCTTTTCAAGATGAGATAGCATGTTTTGCAATAATACTTGGAGTAATATGAAAGAGATACTTAGAGATAATCTATGCCTCAGAGGATACACTGCGAGTTGTACTGAATACAAGATTGTGTGTCCCTTTTCAGGGATTCTTTCAGAATTGTTGCTGAGCTATACAGAAAAAGCACAATAAGCTTCTTGAATGAAAGAAAGTGAGGGCAAGGGCTCTCCAAGGGAATTAAGGGATTAGGGACTATCAAACTACCACTCCCCTCAAGAGAGATCCACAAACAAGAAAACAGTCACCTCTAGACATTTTTTAGGGTATGGTTTAGCATAGATCTGCCATTGATCAGACTTTAACTAGAAATTCCTGCATTTCCCTCCAGTTTCATCCACCCTGCTATTTATGTGGTGAAGATTCAAGGGAGTCAGAACACCTACTCTTTCTAGAGAGCTTTTGCCCCTCAAGAGTTAAGTTTCAAGAACTCTATGTAAACCATAATACAGATTGCAGATTCAGCTGTACACATAAAGTGCAATCTTGAAACATAATAAAGATGAGTATTGAGACTACTGCACTAGACGTCTCTCTGCCTGCTGTAATTATGTGGTGTCATCTCTTACACAGAAAGATCTTTATTATTAAAAATAAATAAAATCAACATTATTTCCTTACCTCTCTATAGTCTATCTATGAGGAATATTTCAATAGCCATTTTCATATTTAATAGATATTGGCAATTAACTCATTTATAAATCAGACTTCTAAGAGGAGCTTTAAAAAAATCACTATACTTCTATACTCTTACAACTAAATGTCCTTAGCTTGCAGCCTCTGAAGGAACAAAATCAAAACTGCTTGAGCAAGTTTCCTGGCTAGAGGGAAAGCTAGAGGCTCTGGACCATAAGGAAGACAGTGGGGAACCATATGAAAAACTGGTTCTTGAAAAAGACCAGGTATGATGTAGAAGAAAAGTAATCCTTACTTTAAAAGCTACATATACTTACATAAACTGACAATCTGTAGCCATTTCTGAATGGGTTGGAAGTTCATATTTAAGTTCAAGATGGTAAATAATATTTGTATTTATTCCAGGTAATTGTATTCCCTGATGAGTATTCACAGACAAAAAATTAACTTTGTTGGTGATATTTTTAGTTTGTTAGATATGTATACTTTTGAACTATATTAGCTGAATATTATATATTTTTTGAAAGTGGTATTGACTGTACAAATGTTTCTTAGTTTTCAAGGTTGAACTTAATCAAGGAATAATAGTTTCTTTCTGCATAGTAAAACAATTGTATCAAACATTTTTTCACACACTTTTAATCAATTACTTTATAAAAAGTTACTAATCTCTGAATATCTGAACATTCATACCTATGTCATTATATAAATGTATCTCTTGTTCAACCCATATGGGTTTTTATCTGCCTTTGGAAGATAGATAGATAGATAGATAGATAGATAGATAGATAGATAGATGTTTTTAATGTAGTTATCTACCCATAGCTATACTGATCTATCTGTATATGGATAGATATCTTCATATTAACAGCATATCCAATGTATCCAAATATTCCAAAGGCAGATACAAACTCATCTGGTCAAATATATATATGATATAAGGTGGATTAACATTATCTGCAGCACATCAAGCAAACATTATTTTTCCCAATCATTTCCTATTTCTTAATAAACTCATGTACTTTGTTGCTGGGTTCTTCCATAGAGTGGAAGAGCTACAGGGATAGAAGCAATGATTTCTTTAATGATGGTTTTCAAAACATCTAGCTGAGATAATGCTGCCATTCATTAAGATGTGAGAACTGGTATATATTTATATCTGGAATACTTTGAATACGTAACAGGAAGAGTTATGCACTTTATTTCTACATGTTCCTCCTTTTCAGTGCATTGAGAAATTACAAGCTGAAGTGAAAGCTACCCAGGAGCAACTTGCAGCCCACGTAAGTGTTTTTCTCGTTTCTTCATTCCTAAAATTACATCATTATTATACTGGAAATGAGCAGAAATTTTTCAGGACTTACAACTGTGGTCATTCTGCTGCAAACCAAACCACAAGGCTAAGAAACACTATTTTTACTGCCTCTATAGAGTTGCTATCCATAAATAGAATTCTGATTTGCACTGATGATAAAAATTACAAAACTGAGTTCTTATATATAATCAGATAGTCTAATAAGTTACCATCAGGATAAAAGAACTGGAAACTAAGGGTAGAAAGACAAGGAAGCTGGGCTAGTTTAGTGAGTGAATGGAAGTGGAAATTACAGATACCTCAAATGTTGGCTTAGAGCAGCACTTCTTGAACTTTAGTATATCAAGAGACATCCGGAACACTTTTGAAAACAAACTTCCTGGAGTTTTCTGAATGCCTAAGACAGGACCCGAGAATATACACTTCCAGTGACACTTGATTCAGATGATGCTTCTGCTACCTATCTTTTGACTGTATTTTCAGCAGCATTGTTTTACATACATTTATTTTGCACCAGTCTTGTGATTTTTTTTAGGCAAGCAACCACAAAACAAATCAGAGAATTGCCCATTTTCTGCTGCAAGCCTTCCCTTGAGAGAGACCCTGTGATGTTGCAGGGAAAATTTCATTTATCCTTTAGCCTAACTTGGCTCAGAAGACAACTAGTGAGCATTTCTTGCCACGACAGCCTTGTGTATTCTCACGCATAAACCAGTTGTCGTAACCAGAAACCTGCCACTGTCCCAAGGATCTGAACAATCTGATGCCTTAAGTATTCCCTCCAAGAGTTGCTCAACACCCTTTTCATTATCTCCTCCATCCACATCCTGGGTGCTATGAGATGACTTCTTAAGGACACTGGCCAGTCATGTTAAACGGCCAATCTGAACAACAAACAACTTAGACAGGTTTGAGACCTGAGATGCTGCAGCCCAGAAGTCCTACAGAAAAGACTGCAAAATAATAAATTCTGGTCACCGTCCCTTGGGGGAATGAGCTGATTTGGATAAAATCACAGTAACTGCCCCATTTTTGTGTTGGGGTAGAGAAAAGCTAATCTGCTGTGGCAGAGAGCAGAGTTTTAAACTCTAAATTCTGCATTTTTTTGGCCTTGTGTGCTCAATTGACCGGTCATGGACATGACTAAGGCCGGCATTTGTGACACTGTGACATACTCAGACAGAAGTCCATCTCCTTAGCCCAGTATTCTGTCACAAATGCCTCTCCCCAGACCTGCCCCTCAGGGTGCCAGGTAATGACTACTGTCAGAGGATGTTGCCTCATGCCAGATGGATATCTACAGTCATTTGCCCAGGGAGTTTTTAGTCCAGAATTTTTTAAGCAGAGATACTCGCTAAGGTTTAGTTATTAGCTTTCAGCATCTCTTTATGAAAAACTGATGAAAACACATGGTCATGGGTGCTGTAGGGAAATTCTTGTGGTGTCTTCTTCCATTTCTCAGCTTCTGTAGATTCTATTCCTAAACTATACTGTTCCTGGCCCAGGTATGTCTGAACTGTGAGTGCTTCTTTGTATTAGGGTATTGACACCAACCACTGAGATTTTTCCTGTGCAACTGTTTAATGCTCAGGTTGTAATATAGCAGGGTAATCACCAAGGTTTTGCTTCAACTCATCAAGAATAAATGAAAAATAATATATTAATGATAGCATTCATTGAGAGTGGCCTGTCTCTCCCCTCTGAGGTAGAGGGTTCATATGTTTTTGATTTTAAATCTCAATATAACCCAACAAGGTGAGCATTCTTTTTCAGATAAGAACACCGAGTCTTAGAGATTAGATCATTCACCACACATGTTGATTCTGAAATCGAGGCTTTTGCTCTCACAACTCTCTGCCTCTGTCTCTTCCCTAAATGCCATTGGAGGTGTCAAACGGTGTTTATAAATGTTCTCTTTCCAGCCTCCTCTCTCCTGCTATTCACTCTGAGAGATCCATCAGTTCATAATGATTCAACTCTCTTTCCCTTGCAAATAAGCAACTCCATCCACCCCCATCAAGGTCTTTCCATCTTAATCATCTCCTGATTACAGCTCCTTAGTGCTATAATGAGCATTTCTTAAAACACTGTTCCTGGAAAAAAAAAAACATGCTAATAGGTATTCTGGGGGAAAAAAGACGAAAGAGCCACTGGAAATAAAGTTAAATTAAATTTACTTGCAGTTTATTTACTGCAACACTTGTGTGTGTACAATCTCCAAGGCCACAGCATGTCATTTTCCAGGAGTACTTGTCTATGAGTGATATTTTAAGCACATGGGTTTGGAGACGGCTGGCATACTGCATAGAATAAAAGCACTATCAATAAAATATGACCTGAATATCTTGCTCATACCCCAAGTTTAGTACAAAGTCAAATTTATCATCTTTTATCCCCATCTCTGAAATGTGTTCCTCTCTGTTCCCCAGGCATGGCAAACAATCTCATTCTGCTGTTAAATATTCTAGATCCAAACTACAAAGTAGTATTAAAATCCCACCTGTCTCTGCTTCCATCCTACATTTAGTTGTCAGGCTATGTGTATACTTCAGTAAGTTAGCTCACTTCCCTGTCTTGAATTCCGTTTTTTTTTTTTTTTTTTTGCCAATTCCTAGCTCTTTTTGACCATGATAGATCTCAATTATTGCTACTGGCCCCAAATTATTAACACATTCAAGTCCAGAGCCTCCACTACCCCTGCCCACCACAGAACAGAGTAGTTCTGGGGGCAGAGAACCAAACAGAGCCAGGTTAACACTTAGGGAGAGTGAAATGTACCAGAGAATCAAAGAGAAGGAGGATTAAGGGACCAGGTTGGTGAGAATGGAACGCAGTAGATGGGGTGAGGGTCCCTCTGAGATAGGAGATCAGAAGGCTCCTGGGAGTTCTGGGGATGCCTAAGATTAAGAAGTAATTGAGAATATTAGTAAGAGTTGTCAGGCAGTATGTTCTTGAACCTCCTTAAGTGGGTGAGAGTCATGTGCAGTTTGAAACTCCTCTCTGGGTTGTGCCTAAGTATAACCATGCTGGAGGATGTAACCACTACAGTGCTCCCCTGATTTCCCTGCTGCCACCCTGAGCAAGGTTTCCAAAGGACCTTCCTTACCCTTCATCTCCCCATTCTCTCTCACTCCACTCTCTCTGCCTCACGCTAGGCAGTAAAACGGAACTGCTGTCTTTCTCTTCACATCCAATTTCGTTGATGCTCCGTGACTTTGCTCTCTGTGCTCTCATGGTCTGGACTATCCTGCTCTCTCCTCTTTATCCAAATAAATGTTACTCTTTGTGCAAAACTCTTATCAGGAAGCGACTTCTCCCTTGGCCCCCAGATGACCTTCTCTGGGCTCCCACAGCCTCTTGTAGATACATTTATTTTAGCTCAAAATACTACATTTCATTTATGTTATCTGTTTATACTTCTGTCCTCCACTAGACTTGAAGGTCATTGAGGGCAGCACCAAGAATGTGTGTCTGTATCCATGACACCAGTACATGGCAAGCTTATGCCAACCACTTAATATACTTTGCTGACTTCAATTGAATTTTACCCTGATCATGTCATTTCCCCTGTTCTATACCCTAAAGGAAGACTAAGGCTGACCATTACCCCAGAATAAAGTACAACCTCCTGACTGTGGCATTTATCACACTGGAAATGAGAGCCTAAACTCTAATTCAAAAAAATTACATGCACCTCAATGTTCATAGCAGCACCATTTACAATAGCCAAAACATGGAAACAACCTAAATGTCCATTGACAGACGATTGAATATAGAAGTTGTGGTATATTTATACAAAGGAATACTACCCAGTCATAAAAAAGAGTAAAGTAATGCCATTTGCAGCAATATGGATGGACCTGGAATTTGTCATACAAAGTGAAGTAAGCCAGAAAGAAAGAAAAATATCATATATTACTCATATATGGAATCTAAAAAATGACACAAATGAACTTATTTACAAAACAGAAATAGATTCATAGACATAGAAAACAAACTCATGGTTACCAAAGGGGAAAGTGGGGGCAGGAGTGGAGGGGTAAATAATGGAGTTTCAAATTTGCAGATACAAACTATTATATATAACATAAACAAACAATAAAATTCTACTGTATAGCAATGGGAACTATATTCAATACTTTGTTAGCCTATAATGAAAAAAGAATACAACAAAAATGTACATATGTATAATTGAATCACTATGCCATACATCAGAAATTAACATAATGCTGTAAACCGACTGTATGTCAATAAAAAAAAAAATGAAAATGGGAGCATGCCCCTTTCTCCTGTCTCCTCTCATCACACATCTATGTCTCCAAGCATACCTATGCATTCCTGCTCTGGGGCCTTTGCTCAGTTTCTTTGCAACTGGAATGTCTGTCCCCAACATGGTGTTTGCCAGATTTTTCCCATTCCTTATCAAGAAATTTCCTTCCAGGAAGGTTTTTTCTGACCATCAAACCAGAAGTGATCTCTCCTTTTTTGACAGTTTCACAGCACTTCTTTGTACCTGTCTTCTATCGCTTGTCACACTAGGGCCCACAATAGAATTACCTGATGTGGTCTAGCTCTTCCCCAAGACTGTGAGTGCCCGGAGAATAGGGAGCAAGTCTGTTTTCATGTATGTCTCTCAACAGTGGCTGGCTCAATGCCTTGTACAGATTTCGTTAAAATGAATTGTTAACATGGCTACATTAAACGTAAAGTTATTTTGGAATTTATAAGAGCCTGCTTTAAATCTCTGGGAAAGTTACTTTATGAAATTTTACTCTTAAAAATGCCAGTTACATAAGGCATTACTTTAATCTGAAATTGACACTTTCAAGGTACAACATAGAAGGGACAGAAGGTTCTATTCTATTCCTTAGAATGGAAATAGAAGGAAAAAACAGCAGAGAAAGAAAACTACAGTTTTGGGAAGCATCAGTTTCAGAAGAAGAAAGAAAAACGTCAAAGCAAGTTGTG